CTTATTGAGGTAAATTTGATAGGTAGATAATAAAACAACATCAGCTTATCGTGTATATTCGGTTTATCAAAGCATTGTCTTAACAAGTTCTGACTGTACGTTTTATTTGTTTTATTTGTTTTATTAATTAATTAGTTTTTATTTGTTTTTATTAGTTTTTATTAGTTTTTATTCGTTTTTATTAGTTTTTATTCGGTTTTATTTGTTTTATTCATTTTATTCATTTTATTCGTTTTATTTGTTTATTTGTTTTATTAATTAATTATTCGTTTTATTAATTAATTATTTGCTTTATTAATTAATTATTCGTTTTGTTCGTTTTTGTTCAAATTATTTTTTTACTCAAATTGTTTGTTTTATTCGAGTAAACCTTATTTGAATAAAAACCTAACTGCTGCTCAAGATTATGATATTATTTTAGCACAAAAAGATTTAGAAATAATTTAATTACAATATAAAAAAGAGTTATTAAATTAACTAAAAATCTAATAAAATTATATGAGCAGGATATTGCCTTTATTAAAAAAAAATTAACTAAAAAATAGGGTTAATCATAAAAGAATATCTGATAAATATTAGCACTTTCAGTATTTACTAATAGGCTTTTAGACAATATGATAAAAATATTAAGAATATTATTAACTTACCGGTATGCTAATACCAAAATTATCTTTTTAAAGAATAATCAGATTCTGGTATTTATTGATATACCCCATTACCCAAGTTGGACCAATAGATTATATATAAGCAAAGAAAGATGGGGCCCTAAATTAGAAACCATAACAGCTTGATGGTTTGATTGACACAGTGGTGCAGTCTTGCAATTTTTTTATTGTATATTTTAAATATAATTAAATCATACATCTTTAATAAAACAAACACAACTTAGCTATTTAATCATTTCTTTGCATGTGAATGCCTCCATCCATCAAATATTCATGATGGTCATGATTATTATTCAATACATTTGATATCATCATTGACATAACAAACAATTGCATCACCCAGGTAGTAACAATACCAAGGCCATGCATAAATGAAACTTTTAACAATGCATGTCTACCCAGATCTCTGGGATTCACAATAATAAATTACTCTTCCTGATTATCAATCATGGTTCCTTATGAATAATAAATCTGATGTTGATCGCAGGTGTCAGATTTAATTAAAATTTTCCTACCACAAACATGCAATAACCATGCTTTCACATGCCCCATAACTGTGGATTTTTTTCCACAGGTGAGCCGTACACATGTTGGAAGGCTTTGGACAAAACTTTTCCTTATCTTCCCCTCAGATCAGGCTTGGCTGTCACCATATGGGCATTGATTGCTGATGAGTGTTGACATTTGTGTGATGTGTGACTATTGCTTTGTGTTATCACCACACTCACTAGAATAAAGTTGGCACCTGCAAATGGTTCAAAATTCAGCAACTCTGGAGGTTGCAACCTGGGTCATTGTTTTGGTTTTTCCCTGAATTCAGAGTTTTGAGTCTTGGGTTGCTGTCTTGTTGGTGGCACACCTACTCACCAATAACCCTACCCCCATTTACTAAAATAATAAGTTCAGTTGGTCAAACAAAAATTAAAGAAAAACAGAGTGTTTGGGAAAATGTTTAATTTATACATACCAAACAAAATCTGAACCATTTTTATGACTTTTTTTCTTGTTGGCCATATTGCTGACAAGGATGTATATAATCATGTGATAATTTAACCTACAAGACAGGGAACTGATTGGACAAAATTATAAATTGGTTAGTATCAGAGAAACAAAGCATTTAGGAAAATGATTATACAAAACAAACACTATTTTACAACTTTCCTCTTAACATCAGAGCCCAATGCAGTTTCAGGGCCGCCAACCCTGCTCTGAATTGTGACATCCTGTGCTTGGAACGAGTTGCAGATTCTGCAGAGTTGTGACTTGGTCATAGTGCCATCCTTGCCCTAGAGGTGGGATCGTTGCAGATGACTTTTCGGTCAGTGTGGCAGCAGCCTTCTCTGGTCTGGGAAGATTAGTGAAAGCATCATTGACGATTGATGCAATCATAATAAACTCCAGAGCCACGTATTACCCCTGGAATTTGGTTGCATCATTGTATCATCGATCCATCAGGTCAGATTAGCCTTGTGTACACGAGGAACGTGTGTGAATGACTGTAGTGTGTTCAAGGTAGTGTGTGTGCTTCAACACTTGTAAATTTTCGATAATCAAACGTTGCATATTTGAAATGTTTCTTCTGTAACAGTCAGTCATGCTGCCTTGACACCTTCTTGTGATTATATATTTATAATGATATTAATATTGATTACGAAAAGCAAAATATTATCAATGAAAATCTTGTAATTACCTCAGCAAGATCTGCTCCGCGTTTTGATTTCCAATTAAAATGTTTATAAACCAAAATAAAAATATCAATCAATACAAGTAAAAAAAAGTACCTCTGGTTAGTTATTAACACATTTTCTTTAGGAGACCCAAACCAAACAACAACACTCACGTTTTGTCACCTTGGACTCTGTCAAAAAATAAATTGTTTTTTGTTTTTCCAATAAAAAAAAAAAATCAATCAATTCACGTCTGTCCTCCCAAAAAAAAAACCAATAGGATAAATAATTAATGTGTACACGTCGATCAAATCACAAACTTCTTTTTTATTTTACAAACATGCCAAATAAAAGCAACAACAATAAAAGAAGCCAACCAAACAATGTTGCAGAAGCAAAGACCTGATTAAGTGTTTTAAAATGGTGGTGGTGGTTATCACCCGCCACTTGTCGTTACTCTAGTTCCTAATGATTTCAAGAAATCTATAGGAACTAGATTTCATATTAATATTAATTGATCAAATAAATCTTATACTTGAAAACGGGCTAAAAAAAGATTTACAAGAGATCATAAATGATCTCATAAATCAATATGACAGGGTAACTTCAAACTTTTTGTTTGCCATTATCTATTCATTTACATTTTTTTATTTACAGTACATATTTTTTTCTGATAAAATTTCAGATGAAGATCAAAGCAAATCTTCTTCAAGTAATATTGTTACAATTATTAGTGGAAATAATAAAAGAATAATAGGTAGTGATGGAAGTCATGATGATAACAAAGGTCATGTTAAGAAGATAAAGATCATTAGTAATAATAGTGAAGAAGAATCAGTGGAAGGGGAAGAAATTTACTTTAAAAATGAACATGTTGCAGTAGAAGTAATAATTGAGGATGTTGGTGGTGGTGATAACTAAAGACTAGTGCTGTAAATTATGATGATATTTATGGCATATAAAAAGTGGTTGCAATTACTTTTGCAACCATACTTTTTCCTTTTTTGGATTACAGCACTAGTCTTTAGTGATAACAATGGTGGTTATGGTGAGGATGAGGATGAGGGTAACAGTGGTAATAATAATAATGAAGGTGAGGGTAATGATAATAACGAAGATCAAGAAAGTGTGTTGGAAAATCTTGAAGAAGTAAGAACCACCACTTCTTGGAATAAAAAGTGGACAGAAAAAGAGATAATAATTCTTTTAAAACATGTCTTTAGCAAAAAATTAAGTTTTATTGAACTTCAACATATGGGAATACTAAGAAAAAGCCAAGCCATCACATTAAAGTGGAGATCAATGAAGCAGAAGATAAAAAAAATATTTGATGTTAATTTAAATTGGATTTTATTTACTAATTTGATATTACCTGGACAAATAAACAAAATAATAAATATTTGCAATAAAACAAAAAAAATTTTTTTAACATTTTTTTTTCTCCATTTGCTGTGCTCTTTCCACACATGAGACATTTGGACCCCTTTAAATAGGCTTGTCTTATTTCAACATGTCCAGAGCTACCCCCGGTGTGATTGTGAAAATTTTCACAAAAACACCAAAATCATCTTTTCTCAACATCCATTAATCAAATGGGACGTTTCACAGCAAAAACCACCTCTGGGGTCATCTGACCAAAATTGAGCTTTTTACATAATATTGATCTA